TAGGCTCCAACTCTTTCTCAATTCAAATTTCTTCTTAAAACCCACCTTTTTCCATAGTTTATACACTTTAATCACTTTAAAACAATGGTAAAGAGGCACTATATAAATGCCAAAATATTATTATTATTTAAGTGTATTTTTGGGGTTTTTTCAGGTAAAGATACCATCAACGATACCCACAAAAAACCTCTAGGGGAGGGTGGAGAGACTGGAGACATCATTCCAGGTAAATCGATTGTGTTTGCAACACTCGAGGTATGCTTGTGCACACTTATCCGACAACTTCCGGCGCTTAATCCCGCAATGCCGACAAATTCTGTATTGACAAAACAGAGAGCTGGTCTTTCTGAAGAAGCCAACCAGCTAATTTCCGAAACACTCAATGTAATGACAACATTACCAGCGCTGTGTTCGCCAAAAGGTGAGTTATACTGAAATAGTATTCCGTTTGCATTCATTCATTAACTACAACATAATGGTAAGGTCCATGCATGTTGTTAGTGTTCAAACACCCAACATAACAGGCCTCTTTTCACCATTGTATCCAACATGACAGGCTACTTTTCACCATTGTATCCCAACATAACAGGCCGCTCTTCACCATTGCTTCCTAACATAACTGGCTCCTGTTCACCATTGCATCCTAACATAACGGGCTATTGTTCACCAATGCATCCCAACATAACAGGCCAGTGTTCACCATTGCTTCCTAACATAACAGGCCACTGTTCACCATTGCATCCAAACATAACAGGCCACTGTTCACCATTGCATCGCAACATAACAGGCTACTGTTCACCATTGCATCCCAACATGATAGGCCACTGTTCACCATTAGGGACTTTTCGATTGAGTGAATGACGAGCACGTTCACGTCGACTGCAGACAACCTTCAACGTGTTCACTTCTCATGATGATCCACCGTTGAAATCAGTTTTGATTTCAGTCGACGAGGAGTCAACATGATGATTAAAACTTTTTGAGCGAGGATCATGCCTTACCATCATGGCGAATTTTTATAGAGTATGAGAAGCGATCCTCTTCAGATATTTCAGCAATGTGCTTGACGATGAAAAGTTGCTTTTGTACAATGCTAATCGACCTGTAAAGTTGTTCTTGAAAATTGCATAGAATTAGGCCTCTGCTTAGGCCCAGTCAGATCCTTTCAGCGAGTCCGGTATCGCCCATCTTGAAAAAATGACGTCATACGGTCAACAGGGTGAGTAGATTTGGGTCGACGGTGAAAACCGGGGTGAATGCGTTCTCAATTCTGGTGGTAAGCTAGGGGTTGACGATCGTGCATGCGTAAAACATTTTATATCACTATTCTTTTGTCTTACAGGAAGTGTCTCTGTGTTGCCAACTATTCTTTTCCTAACAACTGGTGTCCTACGTGAAACAGCCTGCGCCTCACCTGACGGTGCAGATGTGTGTGTTTGTCAATTTTTAAAATTAATTGCATTTCAGCTAGTGATGTTGATATGTGTAGTATGCTGTTAGCCCTTGCTGTCTTCATTACATCAGCTCCTGCCAAGGTTTCCATGACGACATCACTCCAAAACCAAACAATAGAGGTCTTCAAACAAGCTTTTCATTCTGATAGACTCACAGTAAGTCTGAAAATTTTATTTGAAGGTTAGTTTTTGTCTCCCATCAGTCCTATTACAGTCCATCAATAAATTTGCTGTTTTTCTTTTTAGTTACGCCTAAAATGTCTGCAAACACTCAGCTCTATTTTTCATTGTCCAAACCACGATGTCAGTGCGCCGTACATTCACGCAATTGGTCCCAAGATTGTGGAATATTTGCACAATATGAGTGGCAATCAACGTGATACTGAAGACGAGGTGCTTGTAGCTATCGAAGCTTGTAAGACACTAGAGCTGCTCGTTAGCATAACAGAAGAGGCTTTCAGTAAGATTGTGTTTAATATTTTAAAAAGCATTTTCGTATTTTCTTTTTCGCATGCTCATCAACTAACTTTAACCCATGCTAATGAGAACCATCTGTGACATTATCAAAGTTATCTGATAAGCAACCAAAAACATAGCAAGGTAATGCATTCAAAATTTGCTCAAAAGAGGAAATGCAGGAAATTATTTGTGATTATTTAGGTAATAAAGTGTCACTGTCCCGCCAGCAGTTACCGCCCCTTTGATATATGTATGAATGCATTTGTAAGTTTGGTAAATATTTTTCTTTTAATTACAGGAGTTCAGTTACTCGCTGTTTATTTGCCAATTTTGATTGGCTTCTTAATAGAGAGTGCAGAGTTAACAACAGCAAGCAAATCTGCCAGATTACTTCACGACCATTCTCTTCAGCGTCTGATGAAAATTGCTCCACTCTATCCAGGTTCATTTAAAACTGTCATGGGCGCAGTTCCACAACTAAAGACTAAACTTGAGGGTGCTATCAGAGCTAATCAAGCCATGTTGGCTAAGAAGCCAGTGCGTAATGCTAAACAACAAGTGAAAGTTTCAATGCAAACAGCACCAAGTATTAAGCTGAAAAAAGACTTCAGTAATTTTAATGGATAACATTTGGGTTGTATGTAGGTAGACACTCATGTTCCCTTATTTTTCCATAAACATTGATAATGTACCGTAATTTCATATCCAGAATTAAATTTTGATGCATTATTCTTAAAATGATATTTTCTGTACCCAACTTGAAAACTAAAGAATTTGAAAGGTTGTTCTGGCCTTGGTCCCACATTTTATGTGCTTATCTGTATGCAAAGAATGCTATCACTATTATAATGCAGTGTTTTTACACTGCTAGAATTATGAATAATGCAAAACTAAATGTGATAATCCTCCCCTCCTCTCAGATGTGTATAAGATTTAGGTAGAAACAAAAAAGACTTTTGTCTGGCAGCCATTGTAGCAGAAATATTTGATAGCTAAAAATCTTTTCTCAAACAGTTCAAATAATTTATCGATGATTGAATATTATTTGGACAAATATCACTGTGAAGGGAAACTGTTGCAACATCAAAAAATCTTTGTGAATATTAATATTAATGGTAGCTGTTAGCATGTGCAATAGAGAATGAAATATTAAAAAAACTATAGCTTGTATATAACAATAGATATGTAATAATAGGATAAATGTGTAATTGATTATTATATGAAAAGCATAAACCTCTTGATGAAGCAGATGCCAGCTAAAAATGATTCAGGATTTGTTGATGCCATGTACATGATGCAGTGAATGACCCATAATCTCAAAAGTAGAAATTTGTCTACAAACTTAATCTTGTTAATAATATAATAGTTATAATAATGTGTTGTATATTCATCTGCATAGTAAGCATTTGAAATATTATTTTGACAATCAATGTATATTTTTGCCAAAGGCTGTTGGGAGGGGTTTTTCCGGGAATTGAACAAAAAGAATGAGCATTCAAGAAGAAGAAATAACAAAATTGAACATATACTGTATTGTAGCAATATGCTTTGATGATATACCTCATCAGTTAATGCATTTGTTCACAATTTGTTTAGTTTATTGGCTGAGTTGGTGCTGAAGAATTTTAATAATTTTATTATGTTAAAATTGTAATTACTATTTTAATCACATTTAGTCTTGAAATTAAACACAATAAACTGAGATGATTAAACAAATTTTCAGTATTTTTTATATTTACAAGTTTTAACACCACTCCCATTCCATTAGAAAACGAAGTACATGGAAGTATGTCTCTATAAACCTACCTCCTGTATGCGATTTTTTTCCCCGTACGAAACAGTTGCCTGAAACTCCACTCGGGCTGTCTCGGATTGATTCGACTTGAGTTTCATATGAACAAGAGCAGGCACTTCACAATGTCGTGACGCACCTGCATCGTGATGTATCTGCAGTGTGCTGCATACATGGAAGCATGTGTTTAAAGTATTAACATTCCCACCAATATTGCCTCCTTTATCTGATCAAATGTGCTGCATACATAGAAGCATGTGTTAATAAAGTATTAACAACATTCTCAACATTTCCAGAGTCCGAGACGTTGCTCCTTTATCTGATGAAGTGTGTTGCGAACTTAGAAGCATGTGTTAATATAGAGTATCAACTAGTCTCTATACACCTACCTCCTTCATCTGATCAAGTGTGCTGCATATTATATAGAAGCATGTGTTAATAAATATAGAGTATTAACAACATTCTCAACATTTCCAGAGTCCGAGACGTTGCTCCTTTATCTGATGAAGTGTGTTGCGAACTTAGAAGCATGTGTTAATATAGAGTATCAACTAGTCTCTATACACCTACCTCCTTTATCTGATCAAGTGTGCTGCATATTATATAGAAGCATGTGTTAATAAATATAGAGTATTAACAACATTCTCAACATTTCCAGAGTCCGAGACGTTGCTCCTTTATCTGATGAAGTGTTGCATACTTACAGTAGTGTTAATACAGAATATCAACTAGTCTCTATAAACCTACCTCCTTTATCTGAAGTGTGCTGAGTATTAACACCATTCCCAACATTGCCTCCTTTATCTGATGAAGTGTGCTGCTTGCATAGAAGTATGTGTTAATAAATACAAGAGTATTAATTTAATTCCCACCATGGCCAGAATCCAAGACGTTGCCTCTTAACTAGTCTCTAGAAACCTACTTTTAGTACAGCTCCGCAGGTTATTTCGAAAGATAGTCAGGGAAACCTAATCTTCTCTTGTATGAGGCATTTGTACTGTAGGTAGGTGTAAGATATTGCTTTTGAAAACTAATAAAAGATAATTTTGAAAAATGTATGTCCCATCGGGATTTGAACCCAAGACTTTCTTGTTACCATTTGGATACTCTACCAATTGAGCTATGAGGCCAAGTGTCATACACAGATTTTCCAATTGGGACACATTTTTTGCACAAGGTATTGCATATTGTGTGATGAATTTTTATGTTTTAATGAAGCTAGTATGACACCTTCAACAATACAAACACAGAATATTAGTGTCTATGACAAATGTCTGTTTCAGTTTATTCAGAAACCTCTAGAACAATTATATTTCAATACTTAAATCTAAAAGGATCAAGAAAATGTAAAGTCAAGAAGCTAATGTTGAGTACCGACTTTAAATTTTAAAAGTTGAAGGATCCCTTATTAACATAAATACAAAAAAAAATACAATACGATAACAGTATGTTGTTACACAAATAAGTTGAAAGGTTGACTGTTCCATTCAACGAGGCAGGGCCAAGTTGAATGGAACAGGCAATCTTTCAACGAATGAAAAAACATTCATTTGTTTTATAACATAACTAAAATAGATTCTTGTCATTTAATATTTTTATGAAAAAACATCTACCTTTTTTCTGAATGGAGCAGTCCAGCATCTTTTTTGCAAATGTAAAGATTGTATTAGGTTGAGGCGTGCAATGGAGCAAAACAGATGGAACAAAAATGTACGGTCGGTAGCATGATGAGTGACGAAATGGTGTAAATAACCAATGTCACATGATACAAAATTCACCAATCAAATGACAAGGATTTATTTGATTTGTTATAAAGTACACTCAAACGCTCCAACAATGTTAAATCAGCCGATTATCAAGGTGCTTTTAAATGATAATTCATAGTTGCTTCTGAAAATTTTAGCAATTAAATCAAGTTGGTAAATTTTAATAACATCACTGATTTTCGACTGTTTTGACAATCCAAATGCAGTCTTAATAGGTTTACTTTGTGTTCTGTCAAGTAGAGGTACCTAACCACTTTCATAGAAAGGATCATTAGCAGGAAACGCTACTGTACAATATTTTCATTACTGTACACTATAAATTAGAAAAAACCTATTTCAGAAATTATTAAATATTTCATATAAACTTCACCTTTATACCCGTTCTAGTGTTATATACTATTTTTAATTTTAACACTTAAGCTATAAAATGTTTCTAAAAAATCATTAAGAAAACTACATTGCTAAGGTACTGCATTAAAAAGTCTGCTTTTAAATACAGCCAGTAGTCAATTCTGTAGTATGTATGGGTATAGATATACCACTACATATTACCCTGTGTGTAATGAAACACTTTGAGAGACAGGGTTATAAATACAATGTATACAGTGTTCAAATGAACAGATAGTACGTGTTATATA